GCTCTTGCTTGCAGAGGAGCTGAGGCACAGCATGCCCAACCTGGCCAGGAGCAGCCTGAGGGCCCTGGAGTCCGTGCGGAGCAGCCGGAGCCTGGAGTCAGACCTGCAGGTGCCAGGCAGCCGAATCCCCAGGACCCAGCAGCGGGCAGCAGGTCAGGGGGACACCTCCCAGCTCAGCCTCACTGACCCCCAGGCCCCGCTGAGGCTGGGGACCAGGCTGCTCTGAAAACACTCCAACCAGCTGGGTGATTCTTCCTTCGGTTCTTGCAGGTCTGACTCCCAGCAAGCTCAGGTATTCCTCTGGTGCTGGGCAGTGCCCCCTGACAGGGCGGCAGCCCCTGAAGGCCGGGTCCTGCACGAGCTCCCTGCTGGCACCCCGGCAGGCAGGGAAGGCTGGCAGCACCTACACACCTCCCAGCAGCAGCAGTGTCCGAAAGCCCCAGGGGGCCTCGCTCAGCTCGGGCTCTGCCAGCAGCAGTTGCACTACCAGGAGCACTCACGTGGTCACTGTGGCAAAAAACTCCCCCCTGAAAGCACGAAGTTCTGTTGGAGGGCTCTCGGTGCCCAGGAGCAAGGCGGTGGCACCCTCCAGGAGGTGAGCGTGGAGCTCCAGGCTTCACCAACCTCTGCCTTTGTGGCACTGGTTCTGTGACAGAGGGATGTTCTTCTCTGGTTTTCAAGTGTGGCAGGGGTCCACTTTAAAAACTGTAGGGTCAGAGTTGCTCGTTAGCTTTAAATCATAGACTGGTTTGGGTGGGAAGGGGCCTTTGAAGCTCATCCAGTCCAACCCCCCTGCAGGGAGCAGGGACATCCCCAACCAGAGCAGGGTGCCCAGAGCCCTGACCAACCTCCCCTGGGATGTTCCAGGATTCCTGTGGACATCAACCCACGACTGGGGACTTTGCTGCTGTTTGTAGCTGTTAGTGACCCCTCTTTTTCTCTTCCCCCCACCAGATTTCTTCAGTCGGCGCAGGCCCCCGAGGATGACTCCTGGAAGGAAGGGTGTTACTGAGCCCCCAGGGTGCCACCCTGCTGCCAAACCCAGCTGGCTGGGCCAAAGAACGGCGCCTGAGAACAAAACTCAAGAGCCCCACTGCACTGCAGAGCCCTGTACATAGTCCCTCTCCTCTTGGTCACAAACTGGCCTCACCTCCTGCTCCTCTGCCAAGAGCCCGACCTCGTCGTGGTGGACCAGACAACTGTGCTCCCACCAGTCAGAAACATGCCTGCCACACCAGTCTTCCCAGGAAGACTGAAAATAGCCTTATTTCATACAAACCTCTCCTTTTGCAGCCTTTTGGAAGGTTTGTCACCAAAAAAACCTCTTCTGTCTGTGACCTGCGTGGAGAGGCTGCTGGCTGTCCTGAGGGCAGCGTTGAGCTGCTGCTCTGGCCCCTGGCACAGCAGCAGCCCCAGGGAGGGGGGGCTGGCACTAGGTGTCCAGATCTTAGAAGTTAAGACTTTTAAAATCCAACCTGACATACTCCAGTATTTGTCTGAAACTCAACCGTTTTGGGGTTTGGGTTATTTTTGTTTTCTACTTGGTGATAGAATGGATCCCTGCTACTTTTTATGGTTTGTTCTAGGAGCTGAAGCAGGTTTTTATAACTAGTTCCCTCTGAGCTGTTGCATCCCAGCGTGTGCATCACGGTTCCCCAGGGGCAGGAGCAGTACACAACATTTGTGTGGGGCTCTGAGGAGGAGGGGGCAGGGGACACCATGTAAAAAGGTCTCTTCAGCAGCAGCTCCTCTGAAATGGGGAAGCTGAACACGGGTTCAAAGTAAACTTTTTAAAAAAAATACCCCCACCCCCCACCCCTGTGACTGATTTGACTTGAAGCGTTTCCCTTCCCTCTCAGCCAGCCCCTCACTGCCCCTGGTTTTGTAGAAGTTTTCTACTGTCTCTTTGGCTCTGAAGGATTTCCACATCCTCCTCAGCCAGTGCTGGATGTGATGGATACAGCCTGAGTACAGAATTATGCACTGAATAGCAATGTTCTCCCTGCCATCAATGTGATTTTGATAGTGTAGTTTAATAAAATGTTATGGTGCTGAAACAGATCTGCTTTATTCAAACAGCCAGCTGGAGTTTGGAGGGAGTTTTGTGCTAGGAATGAGGCTTTGAGGCCCAGCCCTACCCTGCTCTGCTCCTGCACGGCTCTCTTGGAGCTCTGCCTAGGTAAGCAGGGCTCCAGGGGATGTCTCCTGTGCTGCAGATATTGATCTTTACCTTTAATCTCCTTGGATGTCATAAGAATGAGGTGGGAAAACAATTCACAGCACTCAGCTCCTGTCTCCTTTGAGTTCTCTTGTCTCTACCAGGGTCTGTACTCCACGGGTGCCTTTCCCTGCAGCCTCTGACACTCAGCCAGCAGCTGCTGCTGCACCAATACTCAACAGATAATGCTGAAAACAGCCTAGAAAAGTAAAATGTTTAAAAGCTTTAACTAGAATATAACCTTAAATTATTATCAGGCACGTGATGCTGCTTCTGTGAAGAACAGATGTCTAGAGCTACACATCTGGGTACACCTTTCTAGGCAGACCAGAGGCTGGAAAGAGCAGCAAGCAAAGTGGTGAAGCTTTAATCCTTATTCCCAGGTTAGTGCCTGCTTCAGTTCTGGGGTGCTTTGAGTATCAGTCCAATAGTGGCCACTCTGCTGCTGAAGAACACCAAGAGCAAAACCCCTAAGGAGATGTTAAATATGTTCCATCCTTTCATTTTTCTGAGCTGTGATCTTCCCCCTGAGTTTTAGACCCTGTATCATCCTGAGCATTAGGATGCAGCTTTGCCTCAAACCAAGATAACCATCAACTGAACTCGTGCAGCTTCTGCAAGTTTAAGAGGAAACCCAACTCCCTGGTGCTGAGGCATGAGCCTGCTCCCAAAACCTCATCAGCATTGAGCAGTGCTGTGGTAGCTGCAAGGCTACACCCTTGTAGAGGCTCCAGCCAGCCAGCAGGACATCTAGGAAAGGGAAGAGGAAGGACACCCAGTGCTGGGGCTTTCCCTCCCTACAGGGGGTTCTTACAGCACTGAAGTGTCTCCTCACAGCTCTGACATCACCTTTTGCACTGCTCCCAGGCACGACCTGTCATCACTCCTGCTGTTGCATTCTCCCCTCCCACCTCTGCTGGGAGCAGCTGGATCCCTTGTTGTCCCCCAGGCACTCTGAGGTCACAACCAGGAGCAGCTTCTTCCCAGCACCAGAGAGAATAACCCCGTGTCCAGGTCCTGTCTCCAGCACCCACATCCAATCCCTCAAAATCCTTCCAGAGCCCTCGTGGAACCAGCAGCACTTCCCCAGGTGACCCCCAGCTCCACGGGGGGGGG